ACCAATCCCGTTTCGATTGTCCTTTAATTGGAAAAAACTCCCCTGCGCCCTCGCGGGTGCGGATAAAGGAGGTGTGACACCCATAAATTTTTTGGAAGATCAGTGAACCCCATCATAGATATCACCATATCTAATAAGGTTCGATTTCTCCTTTCAGACACACTATTGTGTTGTGGTGTTCCTAGAGGTGTTCACTATGAGAGAATCCCATTCTCTTTGAGATATCTGGTAAAATCTTCACTAATATTCTCCACCTCTATCAGACCTTAGTATTTTGATACTTTTACCAGTCTGCTTCTCAACTTCACTACGGAACCTTTTGAACATTTCAAAAGATTCAGACTTGTGTTTCATAAGATACACAAATTCATATCTTGATATATCATTAGTGAAGGTGATGAAGTAAGAATATCCACCTCTAGCTTGAATTTTCATGGGCCCACAAACATCTGTATGAATTAGTCCCAATAATTTAGAATCTCTTTCTCCACTTCCAATAAATGGAGATTTGGCTATTTTTCCTTTGAGACAAGATTCACAAGTTGGATATGATTCAAAATCATATTTGTCAAGGTACCCTTCCTTGTACAACTTGTTAATTCTTTTTTCTCCAATATGACCAAGCCTACAATGCCAAAGGTATGCATGATTTACTTGATCATCTCTTTTCCTCTTAAGACTTGAAACCACGGCTCTGATACCACTGAAGGATTGAGTATAGGTGTTCGTAACACGCAGCGGAAGACAATAACAATCCTAGGCAGGTCTTTTCGTGTTTAAAATTTATTTACATGTCAAAGATCGAATCTAAGACGTACCTGGTGAAGAAAGTCACGTTTCAAATTTTTCGATAGTGCGAAGACTCTATGTGTATCCACACCGAGACCGATCCTTGCTATCAACTCTTTGATTAATGAAACCGCAACAAATTCAATGTAAAACTTGTGCTGAAATTTTCTCAAAACTCCAGCAAATAATGCAACAAGAAAATTGATTTTCTTATCAAGAATATATCTCTTAGTTTTTGGTTTCTTCAAAGAACTGTTTTTAATCATACACTTTCGCAAAGTGTTTTGTTTCAAAAGGAATACATACGGCACTTTCCCATGACCCCTTTTATAACATCACCTAAACCTATTTCCTATTGGTTAAGGTGGTGAATTACTTTGGGTACAAGTCTAGTTCCAAAAATAAACTTTGTAAAAGTTTTCCATTAGAAAAATATATCCCATTCCAAATGGGATTATATGTGCACGTTGGCAGCTAGTCCTTTGATGGACTTTAACGTGAATCCAATTCAACATTATATTTCACAAGTAAGTTTCCATCAATATTTTATTACTATTTTATATAACATATCTTATATAAAATAAGTATTAATTATATATATCACATATATATTTTAACCAAGAGATAATTAAATTTTCTATTCCAAATAGAAAACTTTAATTTGTTCACAATATTAATTATACCCTCTGTGCTAGCAAAGAATATAATAATATTTCATTTGGACTAATAACTGAATCTATTTAACTAATTAAATTCCTTGATTTAATTATCAAATAATAAGTTAATTAATCCTTTAACAAAGATCAGAACACTCGTTAGTGTGCGACCCCATAGGTTCAATATTAAGCCGGTAGTAAATTGATCACATCAATATACTAATCAAGGGTGGCATCTAGAAACACTCCTTAACGATCGGATAGAATGAAGTATACAATTTACTCTTAAGAACCAGTAGAAGAATAATATAGTAATTCCGTATGTCCTTATAGTTGTGGATCATCCTAGGATATGGTTCAACTGTCAAATCTTAATAGGCGACCAACTACGTGTTCATGTCAAATATAATCGACCATTGAATGACCTAAGAAACTCATTTCTTCTTTCATTCAATTGTCCTGGCCAAGGTCTTAGTTTGGTCGTTTATAATTCATGACAACATGGAGCTTAAACTCATTACCAAAAGTTGACAGATTCCATCTTGATCAATCACTAATTCTACAAGTATTTAATCGTACCCAATATCCTTTCAACTATCGCCCTAGGGCCATAAATGTCTAGTATCAAAGCACAATAAATAACTTGTCAATTACTATGACGATCTCTGGTCAAAGGAAACTCTTACATCGCATTCTTCAAGAGAATATCCTATTGACAGTTTATGGTAATTCTAACCATTAGGAATTATCCAATGAGTTGGTTTAATGATCATATCTTTATATGCATCATCTATCTATGTGATTTAGTTAATGAGATCAACTAATCTTTATCCCATAAAGACAATCACATAAATATTGATCTAACCGGATTACTAATGTCCAAATTAATAATCCTTCGATCAAGAACAAATTTAGATTAAATTATAAGAAACTTCACTCTCATTATCATGATCTCCATCACAATGTCAAGTCTCAAAATTTAATCGAGGATCTTATCAAATTAATCAAGCAATTAATAATATTGATAAAAGAAAATCAAATGCCATATATATTATATCAAATGACGTTCACAGAAATATGTTCAAATCATCAAATATGATATTGCATCTAAGACATATCTACTATATCTCTAACACTTATCACATGACAGCAACTTTCCCAGTTACGCTAAAACTCCCCTTCAAGTTGCAATATTGTACTAATATACAGAAAGAATGAGCAATCCTCAACCAAAGATCAATGAAAGAATCAAAGATACAAAGAAAGTAAAAAGAAAACAAAGTGAGTAGTGGCAAGGACAAAAAACTAGCAACGCATCATAATTTCAAATTCATCAAAGTTGAGGAGACCATCTCCATCAATATCATAGCGACAAATCATTCCTCTGCATTCATCAATGGTTCTTGATTCTCCCAATCTAGTAAGCATTCTATTCAAACTCTCCGGCGTTATACATCCACATCCCTCCATCTCATACATCCTGAATGCTTCCTTCAGCTCGTGCGCCTTCTCTTCTTCGCTTCCATCTTCAATTAATCTCACAAAATCTTCGAAACCCAACAATCCATCATTGTCCGAGTCATTTAACTCAACCGCAGCCTTTGCTTCCTCATACGACATGTCTTTGCCGATCAAGTGGACACACTGTTGCAGCTCCTCTGCTGATATTTTTCCGTCTCTATTCTCATCAAAGCGTTCAAATAGACGTCGGTGCTGCTTGTATTCTGCCATCAAATTAACAAATATCAAAGAGGGTGTACTTTGGCAAGAATTAATAAGCTAAACACACAAGTAAAAACCAAGAGGCAAGAGCTGAACTGCTATAAAACCAAACTCTTGACCCCTATATATATATATATATATGTGTATGTATATTAAGAGCGGCAGAATCCGTGTGGCGTGTAAAGCAACCAGGGAATTGTAAGCGCGCGGGAATTACGGGTGTGTACCGTTGATCAGTTTTCAATGAAGAATTGGGCTTCCAGATATCCAGGAACCAACCAAGAAGAATCGGATATTCTACCAAGTCATTGGGAAGGAGACCAGGAAAGCCAAACCGGCGACGCTTTTTATTTTTATTTTTTCGTCGAAGCTTTTTTTGATTAACAGGAGTAATATTTTCAACATCCACAATAAAGTATATTAAAAGTTTGCGCTTCTTACCAGCAAGCCCGTCTAGCTCAGTTGGTAGAGCGCAAGGCTCTTAACCTTGTGGTCGTGGGTTCGAGCCCCACGGTGGGCGTAGCGTTTTTTCATTTTTGTCTTCCATTTTTTCTGGGCTGCATGGAGAAGCGGATGAGGCCATGTCAAATTATGATGAAAGCGTCTAGCCACATGTATTTCTCTTTTACCCTTCTGCTTTTGACGATTAATATCTATGCTTATATGATTTTGGACAATTTTGGTCACATTAGTTGAATTAGGCCTAATGTAAGTTCTTTTAACATGAGACCTATTTTTACTTTTACCCAATATTGACTATTGAGCGCCTATAACATTGTTGTCCACGCTGCAAATATTCAGGGATGAAATGTGTTACTGTATCCTTCTTGGTCCAATCTTTCAGTTTTTAAGTTGTGTTAGGCCTAAATACACTTTCCTTATCATGACCTACAAAGTCACAAAATCATTTTTTGGGTTTGGGAGTACTTTCATTAGCACCAAAAGACTTCTTTTAAAATAAAAAAAAAGAACATACTAGTGTGAGTGTGTGACATGATGAATTTATCTTTGCTTAAATTAATTATGCTTGTATTTCTTTTATGAAGATATCGGGTGCTGTGACTGAGCGAAATCTTGTTCCAGAAGAAGTTATTTTTGGTCTGTTATCAAAGAGGCTAGAAGAAAGTTACTGCAGGGGTGAAAGTGGGTTCATCTTGGATGGGATTCCTCGTACAAAGCTTCAGGCTTTATGTATAGCTCTCCATTTTCACTTGGCTTTATCTTTAGGATTAACTTATGCTAGTATACACTTTGTGTGTAATTGATTTAATTTTACTGTGTATTTTAACTTGTTATCGTATGTAATGTACTTTGTTTTCTACATTACAAGATGAAGCTTATCATAGAAAATGGCTTATCGTAGAGAATTGCTTGTTACACGCTGTCTGTGCACGAAAGTTAAACTCTTATCCATCCTTGTTATCTTGTTTTTCTTTTAATCTTGATCGTCAAGTTTCAATCTACTGTTTCCCTCTCTCTCTTTTTTCTTTGATCGTAAAAAAAAAAAAAAATGTTTTTGTATCTTGCCATTGAATGGCGTTTGGAGCAGATTAGTAATACACTTCTTCGTAGCTTATGTTGTCTATGTTACAATTCTAAAGGCTTTGTGAGTCCACTATATATTGTTGGATTTTGTTTAATAACAAAAGAAGGGTGAATGGAAAATGGTGGGAAAGAAATGGAGGGAAGTGAAATTTTGAATGAGTTCACTAATGCACTTTGTCCCTCATTGGTAGAAAGAAAGAAAGTCTTGGTGTTTATATAGAGAAGCTCATCTTTTAGCTCTTAAAGAGCTAGTAAGAAGGCAAGCCTCGCGTCATCGCTCGCTCAGCTTCGGATTTGGATTTGTCATTGATTGATTAATCTTTTTGGACAAAATTCTTTTCAAATATTTAATTAAGTTAATTAAAGAAAATTCAATCCGAAATAACCAATGACCCGCGACCCAGTCCGGCCCGCTTTTCTTTTCTGGATTAATTTAAATTCGTTTTAAATTTCCCGCAAAAAATTTCCAACAGTCATGACTGTTTTGAAAGGTTGCCAACCTCTTCAGAGCGTCACACCTGTTCGTCCTTGATATGCACAGTAGACTGATAGAGTATATTGTCATGGCTCGTCCTTTTAAGGATGTTACTAGTCCATCTTTAGAACACAACTGGTTTATTTTTATATGATGGTAATAATAGTGAAGTACTATGAAAACTACTGTAGAGTGCGAGGCAGAAGAAAAAAAAATTACAGTCAGCTGTGATAATTCAATCACAAGATGAAGTAGAAAGGAAAAGGCCGCATTTCTTTTCAACTTTATTAATCATTTCTACAGACACCTAACTCCTTCAATATACAAATACTTCTCATATCCACAAATCATACTCTCATTGTTGTTCCTACCTTCCTTCAGATGCAAATCAAGAACGATATTTTAACACAACAACTAATCAGTTTACTCGCTGTTAATCCATACCTCTCGAAGGAGTTGATACCTTTGCCTACCACTGCCTTTTGTCATCCAACTAGGTTTTGCTAAAGCCTGTGAAGCTTCAGAGCCATCGTTAATTATAAAATTCAAAGGTGAATCCAATTGCTCCAGCTCCTCATCACTTGTGTATGATTTTTTGAGCAATGAAGATCCACTTCGTGTCAATTGAGAATAGCTAGAAATATCTCCCAACATATCGGTGACTAAAGATATTGGAGGTGGAATATAAGCTACTGGGGCTGCTATGCATGGGTAGTTGGCAACAGAATCATCCTCAGCCTCAAGAGGATCCTAACCAAGAAAAATCCATAAGCAGATCAGACTTGCAAGAGTTAATTCATTGCGGTCAAAGCTTAGCTGGCATCATATTCCAGATTCAAAATCTAACTCCGTGAATACACAAGATAAAGTTCAAACTCTACCTATGCAAAAATGAATAAAGACAGAAATGAGCCTACCTCAGAGTGAAGAGCTCCAAATACAGCTTCAGGTATTGGATCACGGCAAAATTCATCAGGGACAAATATATTAAGAACCCTTCTTATTAGCAGTGGACCAAATGCTGGACATACCTGCATAAGCAAGTAGCACCATATATCAAGGGAGAGAAAACAGAGAACACATCTTAATGCTTAGGGTTCTGAGGTTGACCTCTTTTCTTATTGTCCTGTCTAAAAGCATATCCTTTGGAAGCATCATAAGATCACTCAATGCATTAAGGAGATAGAATGCCTTCGCAGAGGTGTCAAGTTCTTTACTCCCATCCTTTTCATTGTTATCTGCCCCTTTTATATCTTTTAGTGACTCCCCATCATCAATGCCAAAAAGGTCAGTAAGCCATCTGGACCAACTCCCGATCTGTGATCCACATGAAAAAAATCATATACAGTATCTCCATCAAAAGACAAATAATGGAGAATTAATTTTTCATGAATGTTACCAATGACATCTAAGCAACGTGCATTAGAACGTATTTGCAGGAAAAGGGGTTGAATGTACAAATAGGGAAAAGATGAGGAAGGAAAATTTTCCTTTTTCTTGGATGAGAAGGGGAAAGTGAGGTGGCTGAATAAGTGAAAAGAAATTTCTTTCATGTATCATGAACATTATTAGCTATCCAAGGTCACTAATACTCCATCTAACTTGGCAAAATCCAACCATAATTCTTACCATGTTTTTCAGTTGTGCCCCCGCCCCAAAGCTAGCCTTTCCAGCTGGAATGGGAAGAACATCAGCATCACTAATCGGGTCTGATATAGGATCTGAAGGAATCTCATCAGCAGACTCTCGAAGGATGGCGTTGAACATGGCTACATCCAATCTAGCAACACATTGTTCCATTATCTGGTTACAAGTTTGACATTCTTAGCAACAAGATAAAAATGTTTTAGAATATCAAGCATGATGCACACTAAAACAATTCAATGGAAACGCACTACTGAAATTTTTGGAGCTTTACAAGATGCTGAACCGTAAAGCATAACAACAACCACTTACGCCAAAATATCATAATTTAACCAAAGTAAAAGTAGAACTAGAAGTAGACTACAATCTCAGTCAGCAACATTTTCATACATTATGGAAAAGATGCAAACAAAGTTAAGGAGAATTCACATTTGTTGAAGCTTAGATTTTCTTATCCAAATTCATCTTACATGAGCTTACAGTGTCATATAAGTCAGTGTTTATGAGGTAAATTTTAATGTAGTAGCTTTCGAAAATTTCCTGTGAAGTTGTTCTCAGACTGATAGTATTTCATGTAATAATTAGGGAAAATTTGATACTGAAGGACAATGTGCCAGCTAGTACCAGTTTAGATAGAAAATGCAAGCAACCACATTCGTGTCCTCCAGCTCGAACAGGGCAAATCCTTTCACATGCATCTTTGAAGGCTTTCTTCCAAAGCTCTGAAGAAAAACTTCCTCGCTCTTCATTATCTGAACTTGCTGTCCTTCTATACACATTGCTTATCAGAGAACTCATACTTTCACGGATTTCTTTTGCAGCACCAGATTGCATATGTGGAGTGAGAGTCTGAAAAAATAAAAAGGGCAGTTGTATTAATCAATCAGATAATGATTCTTCAATTTTAAAGTTCAATTGGACCTGGAAGAGAGACCTGCCACCAAATAGATTCAACAATACGGGAGAATATCCAAGCTTCTGTTCTCTGAAGTGCTCTTGTAAATGTACGCGGGTCCTCCCAATTGCCAAAACTTTCACATAAATCATCCCTAATACCATTGCTGGAGAAAGACTCCCACTTAAGTGGAGAAGATATCTGTTTCTTGTCCCTGGAAAAGGCATTTCCAATCATAGTTTCAGTAGAATGAGGCAAATACTGCTGCCGCTGGAATTTGCCTATAGTTGCTCTCAGCACCAGCGAATTTGATAACCAGAAAGTTAACCTGTGCGCAGAATTAAAATAAGAATAAGTTCGGGGAAATGGGTAAATACTTTCTTAGGCATACAACTTAGCTGCCTTTCACAAAAGGCGTCGATATTATAGTGCTTTGAGCCTTTGAAAAATAGCTTTTTGTGTACTCATGTACTGGATTTAGGACTAAGAGATGAGCCATCACAGCTCTGCAAAGTTGCTTGAAGATGATTATATAGAAGAATTTCAAGGAACTGTGATATGGTTGCAGCTAGGATTTCATATCAAAAAAATACTTGCTATTGAACAGCTTCTTCCAGTAAGAAAGAAATGCATCATCATATATGTGGGGATGAAAAAAGTAAAACTGCTAGTTGAATGCAAAAAAAAATGATTGGAAACTAAGAAGTACCTAGAAACATCATTTCCACATGCCCTTGCAACCAAAATTAATCCAGAGACAGCACTTTTAGCAGCAGTTCCCCTTTTCAATGGAGAGTCATCTTTACAGGCATGGAAATAGAACCTCGAGAGGCGTCTAGCAGGAGCATGGACCTTATTTTTGGAACTTCCATGCTCTGCAACAACCGAATAAAGGCCAGCTTCAATTGCAGCAGCTTCTCTCAATTCTCCTTCCGCCATTTTCACTCTTTGCTCCAACTTATGGAGTTTGCTTTCCAAAAGAATCGTTGATGTGTCAGTTGACTGTGCCTTTCGATCTTTCCTCTCGTTTGCTAAACCTCGAGCACAAATCTGTTTGTCTTGTGCTAAAAGCTGATTGCCTTTGACAGACCCGTTTACTCTATTAGGTTCTGCTGATGACCTGACTGACTTTACATGCTTTAATCTCTCATTGTTTTGGATACTACTCTTTTCTCCATAACTATCGGTGTAAGCAGAAATTACATCACTTTCTTCTGAGTCATTCTTCATAGCATCCTCACTTTCTTCCTCTTCCACAATTTCTTTTACTTGTTCATTTTTCTGATAATTCTCTCTGTTATTGGCACTAGATTCTTGTCTCCTCTCCTGATACTTCTCACTGTTTTCACCCTCATTAGAACCATTCTCGGTAACAACAGCTCTCGCATCCTCATGCCTATTCCCAACCGGAGTCGAAGCATTCTCAGCATTCTCAGAGCTGGAGAAATGACTTGCTGAGTTCATAAAGCTCTTACTCTCATCTATATGTGAAATTGGAAAGCCTACTTGATCTAGATGACTACTGACCCTCTCTTCATCACAACATTGCTGAGTAGATATTTCACCACCACTATCACTATTAGCCAGTATTCTTTCCCTTTGTTGTACTGGTTCGACATGTTCGGTTATCACATATGGATTCAGAGTGTTTTCAGTTATTTCATTCGCATTTGAAGTTGCCAATTTATTGCTACCATTACCACCAATTTTCCTTGAGAGCCATGCCAGATCAGAAGACAAATCAGTTGGAGAGTGAGGCAAACTTGGATTCGAATTCGATAATGACTTCACCACTTGCTTCTCATCCAAATCCGCAGACTTGTTCTTTGAATATAGGATGACATGTTCATCTTCATTAGGATTACTTTTCACTCCCTCAGTTTCATCCTGCAATAAACACAACATAAAGGAAAAATCTTTGCATCATGCAATTTAGAAGCAATTGCAGAGGACAAAAAATAAATTGGAAAAAATAAGCATTATACCTCTCCTTGTGGTAGTGAACCACAGTTCGATCCATTAGCTGAAGAAGAAGCAGCAACTGATGAGTGTGAGGAAACGTCATCATCAGTGAACGAGGCAATTTCCGCTTCCTCAGCGTATTCTTCACTCGTCAATGTAGAAACAGATTCAACACCAGTACGGTCTATCGATGCTCCTCTTGTCAATACATCCCTTGAGGACGAGCTCGCGCGACTCCTATCAAATTGCTGGATTTTCAGGAAGACAAGGGGTTGTACAGTGTTCCTATAAGCCCGCGTGCAATTAATAGGGGCACTAACATTCAAACCTTCCTTATTAACAACACCATATTCAGCCAAATTGATAATAGCAGTTCCTAATGGTTGACCTTTCACCGTCTTATCACGGCGCGGTTCATACAAGTTGAACTCAATGCAATTTTTCTGGAAAGTGTCTCCATCTCCACCTTTAATGGAAATTTCCCTCAATAGTGTCACAGGAAGTTTAAAAGACTCATTGAACTCAATGCTTCCGTCACCAACACCGGAGCCTAAAGACGGAACAACTTGACCAGTAGAGCCACTCCTATCTCCATGTTCCCATTGGATTAGAATAGCGCGGACCGTCTTCAGTGACTGTGAGGGCGGCCAAGGTTTAATATCCTGAATATGAATTAGATAATCAACTTGAACTGAGGGGCCTTTCCTAGATTTCGCCCTAAGTCCCGAAATCATAATTTCAAATGATCTTCAGTAAAAGTATACAAGCCTGCAAATGCTAAAGCAAAATCCTCTTGAGTCTTGAACTACAATATAGCTACAGAATCCAACAAGATTTAATCTTTTCTGCAATTAAATGGAAACCTAACTTTGATTATGAAAGAAAGTAGCATTATTAAATAACTTCACTGATGAGAATATCAAAGTTAATTCATATTCCATGCCAATATTATTCTGTGCTTGCACATGCTCTATGCTTTTCTACAAAGCTCCTTTTCTCATTCAGGAAACAATTATACTGTAACTTTTTAACATTTTAACACTCACTTTAAATGCTTAAGCCAATTAATAACTCATGAAAAAGAAAGCAAACACATTGTAGAATAAGAATCTTAACCTGTTAGAAGGAAAATCAAAGTGAAACAAAGCCAAATCAGAGTACTAAATTGAAGCATTACAAAACAAAATATACACAAACAAATAGCAAAGATTTAGCAGACTTACAGAGGAGACTAGATACTGAGAATATAGGAAAAAGGCATACGGCAAAAGTGGTGCGAATTTTCAGCCGAAGGCGTGGTCATTTGAGCATTTGAGCAGAGAGAAGAATGTCTTTTCTAATTGAAAACAGGGAACAGGACAACATATATTGAAATAAAATTAGCTAAAAATTTCAAAGGTCGAGTGGTGGAGACTGCTATTTTTGTGCTCTAGAATCCATGGTGCTTTCCGGTTGTCCGGAAGTAGAAAGCGTACTCGCAAATGAGAAGGTGCATAACAAACACTAATAACGCTGGGTGTTCATAAAAAAACGAAAAATCGAACCAAACTGACAAAAAACCGATACTTTTTAGGTTTAGTTTGATTTTGGTTTTGAATTTTAAAAACCGATCAAATTTTATTTGATGTGGTTTTAATAAAAAAATAACTGGAAAAAAACAAACCAAACCGACTATAAAAATAGCTATTTAAATTTATTATTATACTTATATATATATATGTATATTTTTATATAAAGTTTCTAAATTTTTAAGGTACATATTAGTCATTTGTAATTTTTAGTCTAGTTTTTCACTATTATAATAATCTAATTCTTTGCCACTACATCGTAGTCTGATTGGTAGCTTTCTTTTGTTAAGTACAAAAATTTATTTTATGTTAAAAATAATTAATTTTTAATTGAGTACGTAAATTATTCATTACCATTTGATTCAATTATCATCAATATATCTTGTTAATGATAGATTTCTCAAAAGCAATTGATTTGATCGTGTTACGTTGAAAATGTAATCGCCGGAATATGTGTTTGGTAGTGTATGTCTCATATTTAAGAAAAAAACAATAAATAACTGGAAAAATCGAAAAACCGACAATTCGAATCGATAAAAATCGACTTAATTGGTTTGGTTTGATTCCAATATTTGAAAAACCGACTTACTTGATTTGGTTTCTTTTTAGGAAAAAATCGACCCAAACCAAACCATGAATACCCCTACCGCTCGACATGTAAAAATAAGTCTTTTAGTTATAAAAGGGAAAAAAATGGATTTAGTTATAAAACAAAACTTAAGGACCCGTTTGGCTAAAATTGAGAAAATGAGAATTTGACGTTGAAGTTGAAAAATACTTAGTGGGCGTTTGGACATAAGAATTATAAAATTTCGGAAAAAAAGTGAAAAAAATATTGAAGTGAAAATGGTATTTCAAAACTAGAGTTGTTTTTGGATATGAATATAATTTTGGGTTGTTTTTGAAGTTTTGTGAGTGATCTAAGTGAAAATTTTGAAAAACAATTTTTTGGAGTTTTTCAAATTCTCGAAAAAATTTAAAATTCATCTTCAAGTGAAAATTTAAAATTTTATAGCCAAATATTGATAAAAAAAAAGTAAAAATTTTTCGAAAAAAATAAAATTTGTCTTATGTCCAAACGGGCTCTTAGTACTATTAAAATTGTTTGTGTACATAAATTTTCTTTGGAATAAGTTAAAATTTTACGAGTAAAAATCATTACTTCACTTAAAGTACACCTCAAATTAATATTTCAACCTCTATTTCATGTTGAAGTTTAATAATAATAATAATAAGAAGAAGTACTATACTATGTAAATCAAAATTTGCTTTTTATATAATTTGTATTTTTTTTGGTTCAAAATAAGTGTTGTTTTACCTAAAATCAATTTGATCTAATATAAATGTAGCATTAGAAAATTAAGAAAATATTTATGTCTTTTCAGCTAAAGGCTGAAGTGAGAAGGGAGTGCGATTAACGTAATTTGAAAGGCGCGTGGAGTGATACTGTATGACAAAGGTGGGGTAGTGACAAAGGTGGATGATTCCGCCGACATTACCAAACAGCTATAGGGGTCATACGCCACCTACTCCTATTTACTGCTCCAAGTCCAAGCTCGATACCAAGATATAATTGCAATCAAAGATATTTAAAATTATCGTGTTTTCGGAATTTGAGTTATATATTAAAGGCAAAAATGTTCGGGATCCCACCGCACTCGGTAACAACAACAACAACCCAGTGTAATCTCATAAGTAGGGTCTGGGGAGGGTAATATGTACGCAGACCTTATCTCTACCCGGGGCAGAGAGGCTGTTTCCAGGAGACCCTCGGCTCAAAGAGACAACTTTTGTTTAATTCCTTCTTAAATTTCACGTAATTTTTAATACCACCTGAACTTGAAAATTCGATAATCTTGAACTCTCTAAATGCTGGTGTAGCAAAGAGCGTGAATACACTCTCTTTTAGGCGCGTGAGAGGGAAGAAAAATCAAAAATCAGCTTCTATGTAGGGTATTTTTCAAGTATTAATTGTCACATAAACAAATATAATGACTTATCAATTGTATTTCTCGTTGTTTTTTCTAATTATACATTGCATATTTTATTCCAATTGTATTTTTGTTAAATACAATGAATATATGTTTCAGCTATATATTTTTTATCTTTTTTCGGTCCAAATTTATAAACGTTAGTTGAAACTCCATTTATTTTTGTCAAATAAAAAGAAAATTTATCCAAAGTAGTGAAGTTCAAATAGTGTATTTTCTACCAAAAAATGTGTATTTATTTTTATTTTCATGCAATAACTATTTATTTAACTATGCATTTTTCTTTTTCAAGTCAAATTCGCAAATATTTGGTCGAAAATTTATTATTTTTAGCTAAACTATTTACGTAACCCATATATGGAGTTCCAATAACGTATTTATTTAGATGTAATTATAATATATTCTAATTGTGTGTTCCTTTTTTCTTGAACTAATGTGTAGAAATAACATGATTAAAATATCATCTTTAGCCAAATAAAAATTATAGTCAAAATAACGTTGTTTCAAACTTTTTTTAACAGATTTTAGCACAGAAAAAATGATTTAAATGGTTGGTGGACTTAAAAAGATAAAAATATATATTTTATTATTGTTAACAAATATCACATGGACGAAAAAATCCATATGGCACCGCGTGTGTCAGTCTCATCGATTGTCAGTGTCAAGAGGGTCGAGGCTATGAAATTGCCATGTTCATAGGGGTATTAAAGACCGTATGAAGTTTAAGGGAAACTAAAAACAAAAATTGTCAAAGTTAAGGGGGTCCGAACTATTCTGCCTATATTAATAGTATAATAAAGATGTTTTATCTTGTCAATATAAGTTGTGAAGAACAGTGATAAAGTTGTGAAATGCAATACAATCCGCAGATACACGAAATAGGAAAATGAAGGGTGTAAATTGGTTCAAGATTTTAGTTGGTTGGCACGTCTATANCCACCCCCCTCTTTGTTGGTCTGTCTGCAAATTACATAGTCTTGTCCCTCAACCAATTGCTCCAGTCAGCCAGCCACCAATAAATCATCTCCGACGTTAACATCAAATTTCACACTAAAATGGTGTAACACCAAATTTACTCCAACCATTATACTATTTTTTACATCAAAAAAAAATATTTCTTCTCTTTCTTCTATATTATATTATTATCTTCTATTTAAATTTCATTTTTTATTTCCTTCAAACAAATTCTAAAGATGTAAAATTAAAATTATAAAGATCTTAATATAAAAATTAATTATATACACTACATATGATAAATTAAAAGTCCAAAAAAATAAAAATAAATGAATAAAATAATAATAAATCACATTTGGTGCAACATTATTCATGCACTATAATGGTGCAAGATTTGGTGTTCCATTGTAGCAAAAAAACACCAAATTTAGATTTGGTGCAAAAAATAGTACACCCATTGCGCTTTGCATGGTGCGACGTTGAGCGACGTGGTGCGGCGTGGAGCGACGTGGTGCGGCTTGGTGCGACGCCGTGCCATGGGCACGCCCTGCCATGTCCTGTGACGTCCTGACTCGTCCTGACTCGTCCTGCCATGTCCTGACCCGTGCATGGCCACGCCCTGTCATGTCCTGCGATGTCCTGACTCGTGTCATGGCCATGTCCTTGTTCCCAAACGTGACGTCGGAAGGCTGATTTTGCATAAACAGACACCTTTGGTTATGTTTTGATTTTTGACCCTCACAGCCTTAAAATCTTCGTCCCTGAGGCGCTGAAAGGCCGTGTTTGCAAAACCAGGTCTTTTATTATTTGAAAAACAAGAAAATAGTCAGTGGTCAAGTGAATACCGTTTTGGTTTTTAGTTAAAATAAGCCGGCCCGGCTTCAGTGATGTCTTAAAACCGTTCTTGCCGAGATAGCCTTAGAGTATCTTTTAGTTGTCGAAGGGCTATTTTCGTAAAAGAACGAACAAGTTTGTGAAAAGTAGTGGAGATGCCCTAATTAGGATGAATCAAATCCTTGTACCCTTAATTAGATATCTCGAGTTTGAGCTCGAAAAGAGAAAAAATCCTTGTAAGTAGTGCTTTCTCCTTTTCGTGGGCTCTCGGGGGATATCTGTTATCATGTACCACAGTCATAGAGGTCGTTTCGTATGGTGTATAAGAATAAAACTAATTAAATTATATTAGTAATGCATGGGTTAGTAATGCAAGCATTAGTTATGCAAAGATTATCTCTTATCCAATGTTTGGTGTGGTGTATTAAAAATTAAAATGCATTGTATAATTTTATAAAAATTAGTTGTTACCAAAAATGTCCTTCACATTCTTTATGGACAATTTTTAATTTAACCGTGCTACTGCATGCATTAATTGCCTTGGTATTGCTAATACCATATTTTGCTATGTATTAGTTATACATAGATAATACCAAATAGATTGTATAACTAATACTTGCATTAGTAATACGTAAATTGAAAAAGTGTATCAAACAAGAGGTTAGTAATACCGAAAGCTAATACATGCATTATTTTCTCTAATGCATCCTACCAAACGAACCCTAATGTCTTAAATATCTTGTATCTGCGATATCCATATTTTTGCTTTCTGCTTTACCAAAAACATGATGACTAAAATATTGACATTCTCTGAATCTAAATCTCCAGGAGTTCAATTGCAATGATATATCTGGACCAGAAACTTGATCTCTCACAAGAAACAACAAATTCACCTAACTATTATTGATCCAATTGTACGAATAAGGCCTATGCTATGCAAATTCTCACCTATTACTAGAATTAAAGAATCTGACAAATTTACATTTCTATGCAAAATAAAGAAAATGAGGATTAGTAGCTTAAACATGAGCCTTTAGGCTAGCATACCGTTTTGTACGCCTATAACCATCATCAAATCAGCTAACTTTCTCCCATGCTAATGCAGTTGGACCTCTGAAATAGCTCATGACGGTGAAGTAGGACCGGATTTCTGATCTGCATCGGATGTGGCTTGGACTTGAGCTGCATATTGTAGGTTCCAGAGAACATCCTCAAACGAAGGGCGATTTGATGACTCGGGAGATATGCATTTGTTTGTGATGGATATTACAATTGACAATGACTCTTGGGAGCTAGTGGTTAGCACTACTGGATCCACAATTCTGCGTCGACCATCTTGGCTACCAAAGGATGCCTGCTGTTCAAAGAGCAGATTCAAGTGTTTATTTTCCAACTCAAACGACGTGTCACAGACATATTAGTATAACACCATTGAAAAAATCAATCCTTTTGACTGTCGCAGCTATTAACAAGTTCAACTTTTCTCTCAACTGTATTCGCATATCAGAAACTCAATCGCTGTTCTGCTAATCTATAGTGATTGTAAAGTATAGGCGGCAGAGAAAGAAAATTTTGTTACTTTACTTATCCAAGATTGAAAGAGACGGCAAGAAAGTTTAGTATCCTAAAAGGAACAAATTGCTGAAGAGCGTCTTACATTACTGTCAATGAAAGTTGCATAACAATATTAGCTCCAGTTTCGTACCATTTCATTAAGCAAAAATGCTTCTCCTTTTCCACTGACAGTAGGGCCAACCAGTGACTCCAGTAATATGAAACCAAAGTTATAAACATCGTCCTCTTTCTTTGTCATATGCCTACACAAGAAAAGGAAAACAACCGATCTTATATCTCGAGAACAGCTATAGTAGATGATAAAATGCATCTATTTGACATTCGCAAAATAGAATGTCGCGAAAACCTATCCCAGTTGGTTTAGCAAAAGGAAGTTGTTAAGGTACTCTAAGGAATATATACGAGTAAAAAGTTTCTTACCAGGAGGTGAAGTCATCTCCTTTTGCCTGAAAAAGACATATTGAGTATGAGAAATTACTGTCTATCCTATAGATTTTGAAAATTCACCTTCCTCACCAAAATATTTAAATATACTTCTAACCTTTTCAGTTTCTTCCATAAGGATAGACATCCCATAATCACTTAGCTTTGCCATGTGATGCTCATCAAGCAATATATTACTCGTCTTCAAGCGGTTGCTAAATGAAGAAGGAATTACGCCTGTGTGAAGAAAGTGCACAGCCTTGGCAACACCAATCAGTACTGACAACCTGTCTGACCACTTGAGGACCTTTCTTGGACTAGTTTCTGCAAATACGAATGTTGTTCGAGATAAGCTGAACATTTTTAGGGCGCATCTCTTATATTTTCTGTAGCATAATAGACATGCAGGGTTAAATGAAAGTGTAAAACAAAAAGAAAGATTGTAAGAAATTAAAGGTCCAACAGTTTCTCAGTACGAATGTCAACCAACAGAACTGGCACACGTCTTGTATTTCTCATTCTCTACGTGTAAATGAAACATTACACTGTTTCTCAATCAAACTACAGTAATTGCACAAGAATACCAATATGTGTAAAATCAAGATGATGAATCAGATGTCTAATGCTTGTATGTAACAGAGTGAAAGAAACTGTCCTCAAGTTCATAAGTAGCAAAAATATTTTTATACGTCAGGGATATTTTCCTGCTTTTAATAGAATGCTGTTTGAGGATGATGCAGCACTCATGAACTGATTGCATTTGGATCAGTGATCAAGTCAAATTAGTGTTACTCTTGAAGAAAATCAATAGATCCTTATCTTTATTTTACTTTATGATGGTAAAATACTTAAACTTACGAACTTCTTTTCTACTAGCAGGGAAAGTAAAGATATGATGAATACGCATACTTCTTCGCCCGATGCCTCACCACAAAGATTCATCAACAAGGCTATTACAGTCATTTATCAGTGTATTTCCATATTCAACCCAGCATCGAAATCCTTGAAAATGTACATGCTAAATGGTTTACACCGCTAACCTGATAGATGAGCGCGGTAGTTTCCATTAGAGATATATTCATAAATGAGAAATATTCTGGGAACAGTTGAATCATCATGTGCTCCACCATCGATGCAGTGACCCAGAAGGCTAACTAAATGGGGGTGACGAAACTTTGACAGTAAATCCAATCGGAGTTTGAGGTTCCGGTTAGAGTATCTTCTGTACACATTTAATGACCTTACAGCAACGTAAGCTCCATTCTCTAATCTTCCCTTGTAAATCTGAAATGAAGATAATAGTTGAGGGAGTTGTTGACAACTAAGATAATTCTCCTTTTCAAGCAAGACATAAAAATAAAATAAAAACATGTTTAAGTCAATCAAAATTGAAGAGATATCAACTCACGGCACAGGTACTCAAAGTTTTCAACTATCTATTTTTGCCCTTAAGGGCATTTTATATATTGCTATGAATAGAGGAAGTCACAGATGCATATGAAGAAAATGAATATATATATATATATAGTAGGCAATAAATTAAAAACAGAAGCAACTCTTAAATCCATTTTGTACTCTAGTGAACTTGTGCATCTATTGCATTATCATCACCGGGCATGGTCTATGCAACAAAACTACTAACAGAGAAAACTTACTGCTTTATCTATTTAGGGTTTACAGCAAGTATCTAATTTTGAGGCAAAATCTACTGTGATCATTGAATGGAAAATATAAAGATATATAACTATCAATAAGACCATTAAATTTTGTTTTGAAGCCATACTTTTCCAATTGACCCTTCACCAAGTAATGCCGACTGATCAAAATTTTCTGTTGCTTCTAACAATTCTTCCATGGAGAACACCCGATATGATGAAGTGCCTTGTGATCCTATGTTTGCCGCGTGAGAAATGATTCCTGAGGATTCGAAGATTGAGTTCAAGGGACGGACCTTCATATAGAATTGAGCTGATATAAAATGAAAAAATCAACTTACTGGCATTTGCTAGGAATTCAGAGGGAATCCCGGGTTGTGTATTATGTTGCACAACTTTCGGAAAGATGTGCTGATCCACCGTGTTACGTTCATTTTTTCTTCTACAAAAGATGAGAAAACCAACTAACAGAAACACTACAACAATTGCAATTCCTAGAATAACACCTGCCAATAATGCTATTTCTTTTGCTTTGATATGTTTCTTCGCTTGTTTGCAATAGCCCTCTGAATGCTGATATTGAGTTTCAAGAGACAAGCAATTTCCACCAACCTTAACAATTCGCTTATCCGAAATGGTGTTCAAACAAGAAGGAAGCCTACCAACCAATCTATTATCAGAAATATCAACAAAACCAAGTTCACCCCCACAATTAAGATGATCAGGAAGTGAACCACTAAGAACATTAGATGCTAAATTCAAGTAACTGATGTTTGGCAAAGAGAATAAGTCAGCAGGCGGCATTCCATCTAGCGAATTATTCGACAGATCAAGGTGTTGAAGTTGATTCAGTGTGCCAAATTCTACCGGGATTTCACCGGAAAAAGCATTACTGCTTAGAAGAACTGTGGTAACTCCTTTAGGCAAAGGTGGCAGTTCAGAATCCAAATGATTTTCCCTTAAATCCAATAAAAGCAAATTAGACAATGCAGTTAAATCTGGTAATTTACCAGAAATCACATTGTGTGACAGAACAATGTCAGTGAGGGTTGTAATTTTAGACACTGAAATTGGAAACTGACCCTTCAATCTATTATTCTTCAAGCTTAAAATACTAAGATTGGTTAACGAATCCAACCAATCAGGAACAGTATCATTGAAAAAATTGCCATCAAATGTTAAAGTATGAAGCTTTATCAATCTTGACATCTGAAAAGGAACAGAACCAAAGAGAAAATTTGAACTCATATCCAAAAGTTCAAGTGAAGATAACCTATGAATTTTATCAGGCAAGGGTCCCCAAATACCAAGAGAAACTAAAGTAAGAACCTTTAAACTATTTAACCTTGTCAAAGTAGTAACAAAAGAATCAATTGAAAAACCCTCAGATAAAGTTTTGTTTGGAACAGCAAATCCATAAAATTGATCATTTAGCTTAGTCAACTTATCTCCTTTAATTTTGAGCTCAATAACTGAGTTGTCTTGACAGGTAATACTCATATGCAGTGTTGAAGTCAAGCTGCAAAAATCTCCATTGTAATTCTCCCAAACATCAAGCTGAATTGGATATTCTAAGTGTTTTCTCAACTGAAGTAAAGCTTGAGTTTCATAGGACAGTAATAATTGGTAACTATTTGCTATAAAGAAACCCCATATAACTAACACTATCACAAAAAATTTCAAGAAACCCATTTTACAGTTCTTCAAATAGACTGAAATTTCCAAATACTAACTAGTCAACTAAACCTTTTTAACATTCTTGAATCATGCCAAAACCCCATTTAAGAAATGTGAATAAATAGCCTATAATGGCAAATTAAAGGAATGTTCTTTTTTTCTTGGGAGAAGGAGAATATTAAAAAGAAGGGGGACAGACCAAAACATGGGAAAGAGAAGAAGCAAAATAATTAAGGACTATAAAATGAAAGCAATAAATGGGGTGTGTAGCTAAAAACTGGAATTAGAAGAGAAAAATGGAAGGTAGTTGACAAAACAGTACGAGACAGAGGGAAAGCATTTAGTGCAGCTGCATGCAGTCAAGGAGAAAGAACATGGGGGACCAAAGTAGGTTTCTTGAGAGGTTTTTGGCTTTAATGGCGACGATTCTTTTTACACGCGCACACACACACTGAAAGAAGCAGTGTGCCACTGCCACTATTTTTCACGACTTAGCAAAATTTGGAGACCCCTGACTGCCTACCGGAAACTTCCTTCTATTCTCATGTCCGATAGTTCTAACCTCCTTTTTTATTTTGTGAAAAAACTTATCTTTGATTGTGAAAATAATACAGGCTAGTCAATTTTCGGACTAATAATTAAAAAATAATCAGCATTTGTAAAATTATTAAAAAATAGTTACTATTTTGCTGTAATACGGAAAGTTATGGCATAATATACTGGAAATTGGAGCATCTGTGTATGAACTTCCAACATATTATGCTGAACCGGTATATTATACTAGAACTCCAGTATATTATGCTGGAAGTCCAGTATATTATACTGGAACTCCACTATATAATGCTGGAATATTTTTCGGACTTTGAACAATATTTTCGTTCAGATTCATCTTTACATGAAAAGTGACTAAATTTCAATTACTCTTAAAACGTAACTATTTTTCAATTACCATTTGTAAATCTGTCTATTTTTTAATTTCTGCCATAGATTATAATATTGAATTAGTTTGAACGATAGTTTAATTTTTTGAACTAAAAATTTAATATGTGAGGTATAAATACACTATACGTTTGATTTTGCACTAGTAAATTTAAATAAAAAATATATTTCTAATTTTAACCTTAGCTTTAAAAAATTCCTCAGAAATACCATTTTGTTGTTTTAAGTCGGGATTTGTAATCTCAAGATTATTATCTCACATTAAGTTAGAGGCGGAGTTAAGATTTAAAATTTATAAACCCAACCCCTAGCATATCTTAATTATTACAGTCATAGTTAATTATGTATGCATATCTAATGAATATCATAATATAAATATAAAATTTAAACAAAAATTATTTAAATTGTTAGACCCCGTAAGCGATACTCTACCTTTATCCATGCATAAAGTGTCGTATAAAAGTAATAACACAATTGTGAATGCTAGAATTGGAAAATTCAATAAAAAGCGGGATAAAATAATTTCACATTTTCTATTATTCATTATCCTTACAACCTAGTGACCCCAGAGTTTAACTGTTATATAGCATAGAAAAATAAGGTAGGTTATTTATTATAAGATGTTAAAATACATTAATAATGTTACTTTTATTTACACTTTCAAATGTATAAGTTAAATTCCGTAAATAAAATTTAATTTATACGATGTAAATTTTTACGCTATCATTTAATACTTAATTATCTAATATACAAATTTATTTATAATTCTCTTATAGATAATTTGATTAATGTATAAATATTTTTTTTACTTAAACGCTGTTAAATACTGCAGCAAGTTTTAATTGGTTTATCTTCTTTAGCTTTTAAATGAGTTTAACGACTGATTAAGCATCACCAAAATTTCAAAACTACCTCAATGAGCAATTTTTTTCAAAGTTAAACCACGAGAATCTGTTCTGTTGTAAAGCAAATCTAAGAATTCAAAGGTTGACTTGAGTCATTTCAGACTGTTTAAAAACCTGATCACAAATATTCAGTATTTAAAAAAAAAAAAGTTTAAATATAAGAACCTTTTTGCCGTTAATAAAATTTTAACGGCATGAATTTCTAGGAAAAAGATTGCGTCAGTCGCCTCGTTTTGAGAATTTAAACTATTAGAAAAACGCTTTTATTAATTAATTTCATGTTCAACACACTCCATATTACATGCGAATATTTTTAAAACAAAAATACTTTGAAATCTTTCCTTTGTATATTGTGTAGAGACTTGTATTGGTCAAAATCTGACTACCACGACTAGGTTGCCCGACACCCCGCCTCAGTAATTGGGCAGTGAAAGTCAATTGAGTCCACTTCATTTCTCCTCTGTGACATCCGACGAATCGAAAAGAGTAATACCTAAAATCATGACCATGACACATTAATGACAAGAAAGTGTCGAGTCAAGCAAAGGGTGAAAGGGCCTCGACTATATATACCCAAAGAAAGCTCTCAACTCAGGGGGCTGGACCATTCTCTCAAAAAAGAAAGACAAAAGGCTCCCTTCTTGTATTCTAGAAAAGGAGGAAATAACCTCGAAGAATATTTGTAAATCTACTTCCTCATCGATTGATGAGAAAGACTTGAATCTTAGTAAGATCAATCATGCCTCTTTCGTCCTCTATGCAATTATTATTGTTAACTTTTTCGATTCGAAATTAATTATGTTTAACCAAGATTTATCTCTCCATCTTTGATTGATTTCCTCCATCTTTGATTGATTTGTCCAAAAAAAAATTAATATCTTTTGAGTCAAACAAGACTGTAGCTCAGAATCTCTTGCTTTGTTACTCTATTAATATTTGATTGTGTGAATCACTTCAAAACCCATTAGCTTACACATTTTTTAACCGTAGGTCGCTTGTACAAAAAGCGACTTGCTTTCTTTATGTTCAAACTAGTGAATTTGCCGCTATTTTATTTTTTAATTGAAATTTTTTAATTTTTTAACTGTAGGTCGCATGCAGGGGCGGACCTAGTGCGTAGACTACAGATTTTCGGGAACCCAGTAACTTTTGCGTAGACCCTGTATTTATATTAAGAAATGGAAAATTTTCGTTTATATACCATATACGAAACTATATTACCAAATATGTTCATAGTTTGCATATTACCCGCCATGTTAATAGTATTTCAATAAAATATAGACAATTCATTAAATAAGGAATCATTGTAGCTGTAGGCTTCCTTATTTAGGCGCGCTAATATTGGAGAATTAAATATTCTTCCAGATATTTTACAACGCAAATCACGCATTAATAATTATCGGCCGTTTCGAATCAAAATTTAGCGACTCTGTTTGTGTTCATCATTTTTTTTGGTCAAATCAAAAACGACTAAATCTTCTACAATTCTTCTGCAACAAACGCAATTATGTCCAAAATCTCAATCATGCTACAACTGAATGAGAATTGGGATAGCTATGGGAGATTTAGAGAATTTCAGGTCGATGGCATTGTAGTCGATGAGGATGCAAGTTATAGTCTATTGATTTCTACAATAATACAGCAATTAATGATCGATACATCCGAAAAAACTATAGAAATCAAATACATTGTCAACGAGCATTGTCCTCCAATGAAAATTAGGAACGATATGGGTGTTCGTGTATACATGGAGACGAAAAAAGAAAAACAAAACTTAGGATTATATCCGCTATGTATAACTGTTCGCGATTTCTATATGGAATTGAGTATCACCAATGAGAACACAGTTGCAGGTTTGTGCTGTTACATTTTCTATCAATTTCTGGTTGTATATCAATGTCCTATAATTTATCAACATTTTATCTACAAATAAACTACATTTCAGAGTAAATATATATATCAGTATGGATTTTCACAATATCTACAAAATTGCTACATTTATTCTACAATAAAACTACATATCATTTGAAAAATTAATATGAAATACAGAATTTCAATGTTTTTACAAATTATCTACGAAATTTCTACAAACTGTTCATAACAGTATTTATCTTTATTTTCATGCAGGTTCGTCTGGAACACTAAAGTTACTTGATATGCCAACATCTCCCGTTATAGAGGAATATGAAAGTATAATAATAACAGATAGTACACCAAGTTTTATTGAAGTAGGACAAGTATACCAAGACAAGCAAACAATTGCAACTGCATTGAAGTACTATTCTGTCATTCACAAGTTCCAATTCAGGGTTAAAAGATCTAGTGCTAGAAGTATGAACATATGAATAGTCAAAGATCATTATTTTTTTAATCTTGTAGTTTATTTGTAATTTTTTAGTTCTTCAGTTTTTCCTTGTGATAATGTTTATCGGTATTGTAGATGAATTGTAGTTATGTTGTATATAAATTGTATAATGTGATCGTTTAAGCTAAAACAATCTTTTTTTTAAATCTACATTTTAAACAAGTGTTTAAGTTGTATTTATTTTGTAGCTACTGGCTGTTATGTTTTGGTGAAAACTGTACATGACACTTCAAGGCAACTAGCATAAATGATTCTGCAATGTTCAAGGTCAGAATTTTCAAGAGCCAGCACACATGCTCTTTAATGGACAATACATTCATACAACGCAAACCTACTGCCATGGTAGTTGGTAGCATGGTTATTCCCAAATATTCTCACCCTAAGACAATTTACATACCAAAAGACATACAAACTGACATATTGTTTGAGCACGACGTGAATCTAACCTAAATGAAAGCTTGGAGAGCAAAGGAAAAGGCTTTACAGTTTTTGAGAGGTTATCCTGCTGACTCCTACAATAAATTGCCTAGTTATTTGTATATTATGGAGAAGACTTATCCGGGGTCTATAGTTAAATTGAAGAAGACGGGGGATGACTGCTTCTTGTATGTATTTGTTGCGATTTGTACGTCGATCAGTGGTTGGAAATATTGTAGGCTAGTTGTAGTTGATAGGACCTTCTTAAAGTCAGCATACAAGGGAATAATGCTAACAGCTAGTACAATGGATGCAGCGGGTATTGAAGTTTTATGGTAGAAATATTGTAGCTTGTCTGTTTTTTGTAGTACTTTTAGATTTATTGTAGATATATTGTAGAAAAATTGTAGTTTGTATGTATATGTCTTCTTCTGCATTTTTCCTGCAACCAATTAATTGCTTTTTGCCTCATAATGTAGGTACCATATTACCATTGACATATTTTGTTGTTGATTCAGAAAATGTCGCATCATGGACGTGATTTTTTGAGCAATTCAAACACGCATATGGTGAAAGACCAAATATGTGTGTTTTTCCGGATTGGAATGAGAGTATCTTGAAGGCAGCATCTATTGTTTACTGATAGACACATCTTCTACAAAATCATCATCAAACACTATCTCTTTTCCTTTCCTTTTTGCTTGTTTGATTGGCCTCGGAGATTCTCCAGTATCGAAATTATGTTTTTGTTTAGTTCTAGCTTCAGCCCTGATTTGACGCGGAGAAAGACTATGCTTCTTATCTATAATTACATGTGCATATTTTCCATGCTTTTGGGGTAAATGTGGTGATAATACACCCAAATAAAGAAGGTATATCAGCTTCTCTGGCTTTTTTAGGGCTGTACTTTGAAGGCTTGTTCTTTTT